AAGATACAATATCTACAAAAAACCCTGCCCCGAGATCTACACGCACACCCGTCGACGAGACTTTAGAAACCAAAGATCATGAAGTTGCCCTACAGGCCAAGCAGATCGTTCAAGTCGATCGGAGCAGGACGTGATGCACGGTCCCTGAGTTTCTCCTGCAGACGACGACGGCACCATTGTGCAACCTATTAGTAAGGACTGTCAGATTCACTCTCGATTCACGAGAAATTGTCTATGTGAGCTTACCGAAACGTTCTCAACCCAGTCCATGATAGCTTCGGAGTAGCCCTGAAACACAGCACAGGTTAGCGCAACTGTTCTCGGTGCAAAAGATGCTATCAAAATGCAAAGAGCAAATACTTACTTTATCAATATTCTCACGACGGATTGCGAGGTATGCGAAGAGATCGACGACCAGGCTGCGGGGTTGCATGAAAGTCAGTGTCTCGCCGACTTCAAGCATATTCCCCCAGTCTGGGCCGAAACCTCCAAGCCAGTCGCTATATATCGTGTCCAGGATTGCGGGAGGGCTGATGAGGTAGGGATGCTCGACCCAGCCGTAGAGGAATTCGGCTTTGATGACCAGAGCAAAGTGTTCATCCTCGGAGAGGTTGGGCACATCAGGTTGATTGTCATCGAAAGTCTGGACCATTTCCTGCATGAAATATAGATCAGGGAGCGAGTTTTTCGTAAAAAAGGATAAGGAAACGTACCGGAAAATGAACAACCTCGATCATGCACTTGATTTTGTCAGGCATCATCTCAGTCGAAAGCATGCGCGGGTCGTCTTGGTTCCAAGCACACATGTTCGCTTGAATCCACTGATCGACCATCGTGGGGAAATCTCCGGAGTCGCGGCGCTCAATGAAGGCACGGCCAAGTTCGGTGTATGGGTTGAAGGGATCTTCTGGACCGTAGACAGGTCCAGGAGTTGGAGAGTCGTCGCGCGTGAAAGACTGTAGTAAGAACAGCACGTCAGTCACAGTCGGCTCGGAAGGGCCAGGGGTAATGAGGATGAGCTGTGCCTGCATATGTAAAATCTGGTGGTGGCGGAGTACACGACTGACAAAAGGTGAGTGTGAGGGAGTAGACGGTATAGACATGGTTTATGTCCGAGGACGGTTAACGCTGAGCCGGTGTGAGCGACTAGAGCGGGGATCCGCCAAACTGTACAGTCTTACGGAAGGTGGCTTGAAGGTGAACAAAAGGTGAACCCACGTACCGACGAATGCCTCAGCCGTTCACTCTTCACACCACTACCACCGATTCCAGACCCCTCTCATGGCACCTACACCCTCCCCTTCAACTGCAACGACTGCGAGACCTCGCCGTGCACGTGCCTCTGCTGGGGGTTCAGGAACACCTAGACGTACCATCGCAATAGTTGAGAAGGAGCTTAATGAGATGAAAAGTAAGCCATGATTTTCTTACCATCTGTTGCATTGTGGCTGACACAAAGTCATACAGAGGAGAACGAAATCCTGAAGCTCGAGGTCGCCAGCCTCAAACTGGCTGCCACGTTGGCAGCGCAAACGGCCAATGACGTCGTTGAGAAGGTACCCAAGCCTGCGACGAGCAACTTCTCTATCTTTGTCGCCATGGGCTTCGTCGACACGGAGGATGACCAGAAAAAGTATTGTGGGATTCAGGTGAGCTGAATATGTAATCCCGCCTCCTGAACAAGTGGACACTCACCATCTGTTATCCAGCGTACCGTGCATGACGTGAGCCTCCATGCAGGCATCAGCTTCAACCGTAGCTACCGCGACCAACCCTCCGAGATAATAGCAAAGATCTTCAAAGCGGTGCGTACTAACCTTTCGTGTAGGCTCCACATCGAGCTCACTCCCATCAACTTCAGTGTCGTCAAGCTTGGCCTGAGCTTGCACGCTACGAAAACAACTGGGCGACCGCGGCCCTCCTGCAGCAGTTCATCACGAACCGTCGCAAGTATCTCCGATCCAAAGGCTTTCTTTCGGCGGCTCCTGCTGCCACCGCCACCACCGCCAGCGTCGCTGCAGCGCCCGCCGCCGCCGCTGCTGCTACTACTCCTGTCGGTGTCGTTGCGGGTGGTGCGGTCCCAAACATCGCTGATGTCGATGCTCAGGTTCAAGCAGAAGACGATGATTGAATGTTCGAACGTACGTTTCTTTCCGACGCTGATCGTTGATCGTCTTCCTGCCACGTGCACAGCATGCTCACGCAACATTGATCCTCCAGAATGATGCTGACTCAACGTTCAGTTTATTCCATTGCATCTGTGCGATTTCGACAAGGATCGCACTGCTAAAAAAAGCAGGGGGAGCGTTCTGCTTCAACGGTGTGCGCTACTACCTGTCTCTTCTTGTTTGTTGTCTTGTGTTCGTCCAATGTTTATCATTAGCTGAGGCTGTCGAGTAAATGCTCCTGTATCCCCGTGT